TAAGGAGGTTTGTTGCCACGCTTCGTTTGACGTTCATCGGGTGTTCGGAATCATAAAAACCAACACAGATCACGCAATAGGTGCAGATCCCACAGAGCGCTAATGATAATCCGAATCCAACATACACACACACGCACACGTCCACACATACACGGAAACTTACGCACTTGACCCCGTTTTTGGGTCAACCTTGAACGCCGCGACTTTCACCTTAAAGCTTGTGTTTTCGAGAAACCGATTAAACTGACTTGACAAAGGCCTTCCAAGAAGGTCGAAACGTTGTCACCGAAATCTTGTGTTTTGGTACTCACGTTGTGGCTAAAACAAACCTGATTCTATTATTACTTTTGAGACTACTTATTTCGTCTACGTCAAAATTGAATAGGAATAATGAACTAGAGCACCCTTAAAGAACACCGCTCTTAGTTTAGAACAATTTGCTTAGCCCAGCGTAGACCCTTAAGCTAACGGATATATCGACTCATTCTTCTAATTTGCAGACAAAATTCTCTGGTCAACAGAAACGAAGATTCGTTGTAATTCAAGGAGCACTGGGATTGTTGGTCGACGATGTGTGTGGTGCGATTCGAGTACTGGATGCAAGATAAAAATTTGATCGATAAAACCGCAGCCAGTTCGGAATTCTGCCTGTTGTTCGCGAATGCTGACCTCCCTGAAGAGTGTCAGGCGACAAAATATCACAGAAGTTAACACTAGTGATAATCAGTGATTTGCGCAGTCGTTACGAGACCTGTTGTACAACAATGAACCAGTCACATTTGTAGGCCGGTTTTGGTTGCTTTCTCCTAACTGCCCACTCAGATGATGTGGTAGAAGAAAAATGGGAAAGTTGAAGGCTGTAAAGATGGTGATCAAACGCAATGCGTGACGCATTGCGTTTGCGATTCAGCCATTTCGCTCGGTGTCTCTAACCATGAATTAACAATGATCTGAGATCCTCATCCAGGTCACCTAACGCGACCTAAGTGACCGAGTCTCTCGGTTAGGGTTTTCGCATCCTTATGCCAGATCTTGGGTTGATCGTCTTTGACTGTTTTCAATCAACTGCCTGCCTCGGGAAACATCGCTTGGCGTGCTAACCTATTTGATGACATGCGGTAACACATGCCCTAACCAGCGTAATCCATGGCAGTTAACCACTTGTTCTAGTAGGCGTCCGTGGTAACCTAAAACTTCACGCCTAACCTCAGAATTGCTTTTCAGGCNAATGCTGCGTAGACAGCGGTGTTCGAATGACGACACTATCCTTATTTCCTTTTCCTGATGGCCTGATTTCTGCGCTGTATAACACCACCGACCGAACTGTTACAGCATACCGCGGACCCTTCACTGAGAGCTGAATGTTGTGACGGCGCCACAGCTGCCTGAAGTTGGCAAATACCAATCGAGTCTTCTGTTTGCGAGTTGACACTTCCTACCAGCTACTGTGTAGTAAACCATTAATAGAGTCTAATAGAGTCAGCTTAAAAAATGGAGAGAAGCCAGTCAGGACTCATTGCCTTCGCTTCCTTTACTGAATGAAAATAACCTCGTACTTGTAGTTCTATTCGGAGCTTACATGTTACCGGCCCGGGAATTTCTGCTACGATCACCAAAATAACCGCTATAGCATCAGGCCAGCTATACGGTTCACTAAAATACTATACCCATCGATCAAGCAGTTCGTTTTGTGGTTATTCTGTTCACTGGAGATTTGTGAACAGGTACTGTTAGGGGATCCAATTGCAAAGCAGGAGAACGACTATGGTCCTCAACTAAAGCCTTTAGTTCTGATAAGAAACTGACCATAAAGTAGCACGTAAAGCAAACTGTTTGTATCACTTACTCCATTTTCGACCGACTGAGAGGCCAAATAGAGCCAACCCCCCACCCCACCCCGAAAGTCCAGGAGACTGGACTTAGTCTGACCTCTACCCTTTGACCTTCCAGGCATGATTCGATCCTCTGCCATAGAAAAGCTACCCCTCGTGGCTCGTTGGGACTTAGAGGTGCACAAGCTATCACATCACGTCAAGATGCATTTTCGTCGTATCCCGTTAACATGATCAACATACACTATTTCCGATGTGACCTCTTGAAGCCGGTTGTTTGGAAAAGTCATCTACCGGGTAGGACGCATACGTTTTTTGCTTCAGACCACGTATAACTTCGAACTCAATTCCATCAGGATTTTGTCCTCCTACCCGTTTGGTTTGTTCAGGGCACTGCACGATCATCCACACCCACTATGCAAATATCCTATTATTGTAAACACTATTTTGATTCGCGAGGTTACAGTAATTCCGCTTATCGTTAAGTTAACAGAGAATAATAGTCGGGGAAAAATCTGCTCTGCAGGGAATGCACCGCTTACTCTGTGGATGAATCAACTCTTCTGTTGAATCCAGACAGTCGAATTGATGTCTTCTTCAAACTTGACTCCAGTGACTTTGTTCGGTCAGAGGAGGATGATCTGCTGTTGAGTTAGAGCGCAGTGGAAGTAATACAGTTGCTATTGCCAACCAAAGCCTGACCCGCAAGGCAGCGGGGCGGTGTATGAAAACCGCAATCCATTTAGGGGGGGGGGCGGTATGCAGTTCATTGGATCATACACCCTTTTGACGGGGTCAAACGTTCAAGGTGCCCCATACATCTTCGTTTCGGCGGTTTTTATTTTAAATAGACGGAGGTCAATAAACTTTTATTTATTCACGTGGTCTTGCTAATCATTGATTGATGTTATATAGGAATTAGTCAATAAACTGTAATAAAATCATAGAGAATAAATTAACTAATTCGCAGGTGAGATCCTTACAAAAATATCCACACGCATACATCGGTGTGTGTGTGTGATTGTGTTTGGAATCCACAACGTAAACACATTTGGTTTATGCTCCACAGCTCACCTCGCTGCATCTCAGGTGAATTGCAGACTGAGACACCTTTGACGTAGACGCGACGTCTCACTGAAGTTGAAAGGTCGTGTATTTTGTGTCAGGTCGGCTTTATGGTTGCGAGACCTTGAACTTGCGAGTAGATATCCATCGACTAAAAGGTTTTATCATCTGTGCTTCCGGAGTTTAGCCCACGTGTGACGGAGCCAACGGGTTAGTAATCTGGAGGTAGGCCTTCGTGTGTTTGGGAGTCTATCAGGGCTAAACCTGCTAGCAAATCATTTTCAGATTAGTAGACTTCGTTGGCTAG